CAGCCGGTGTTTTTCCCAGAGAGAGCATCGACCCAGGGTTCTCTTTGGTTGGATGGTTCCCCCTGGGCCTCGACTCGCGCAGGCCTGGCGAATTAATCAGTTGAGGATGTCCTAGCGAAACGCTGGTTTTTGAAATAAATCCCGATCGATAAAACGAAGGCTGTTGCGGATGTTGTTGCGGATGTCGTTTTGTTGCGGATGTCTCGAGCGAAACGCTGGATTTGCATAATGTGTTGAGGATATCTCGAGCGAAACGCTTGTTTCTTGCTATAGATAGTTTTTCTCCTGGGCCAAGGATTCAGAGGACTTCTAAGGTGAAATGCCTGTTTTCACGTGCCCAGGTTTTGAGGACGTCTCGAGCGAGACGCTTGGTTTCACGCCTCTACTTTGTCCAGGCAGATGTCTAGCACCAGGATTTGTTGAGGATGTCTCGAGCGAGAAACTTGTTTTTGCGTGTCCAGGTCGCGCAGGCAGATGTCTGGCATCAGGAGATGTGTTGAGGAGGTCTCTCGAGAGACGCTTGTTTTTTCGTGTCCAGGTCGCCCAGGCGGATGTCTAGCCTGAGGGGGTGTTGAGGATGTGTTGAGCGAAATGCTTGGTTTCACGTGTCCTGGTCGCCCAGGCAGATGTCTAACATAAAGATGTGTTCAAGATGTCTCGGGGGAGGCGCTTTTCTCACGTGTGCCCAGGTCGCCCATGCGGATGCCTAAAGTGAAGATGTGTTGAGAGTGTCTCGAGCGAGAAGCTTGTCTTCACGTGTCCAGGTCGCCCAGGCGGATGTCTAATGCTTGTTTTCACGTGTTCAGATCGCCCAGGCGAATGTCTAGCATGAAGATGTGTTGAGGATGTGTTGAGCGAAACGCTTGGTTTCACGTGTCCATGTCGCCCAGGCAGATGTCTTACATGAATATGTGTTCAGGATGTTTCTTGGGAGGCGTTTTTTTTTCACGTGTCCAGGTCGCCCAGGCGGATGTCTGGCATGAGGTTTTGTTGAGGATGTGTTGTGCGAAACGCTTGTTTTCACGTGTGCAGGTCGTTCAGACAGACGTCTAGCATGAGGGGGTGTTGAGAACGTCGCGAATGAGGCACGTTGTTTCGCGTGTCCAGATCGCCCAGGCGGATGTCTACCATGAGGATTTGATGAGGATGTCTCGAGCGAAACGTTTGTCGCAGTAGAGTGCGGCGCAGTCCAACCCCGCCCTTCCGTGGGGCGTCCCCTGGCGCCCCACGGACCCCTGGCGCGACCCCTGGTGCGTCCCTTGCGACGTTCTGGCGTGACGTGCCCTGGCACGTCCCCTAGCACGCCACTCGGCGTGGCACTTTCCCTGGCTTGTCCTCTGTCGCGTTTCCTGGCTCGTCCCCGGGCGTTTCCCCTGCCCGTTCCGTGGCGGGCCCCTTGCAACGTCCCTTGATATGACGTCTTTTGGCCGCCCCATGGCACGCGCTTTGGCACGTCCCGTGGCAGGTCCCTGACACGTCCAGGGCACGTCCCCTAATGCGTCCCCTGGTACGTCCCCTGGCACATCCCCTATTGCGCCCCTGGCACATCCTGTGGCGCGTCCGTAAGTCTGTGCCCCGTGTCGTGTCGCTCCATGTCGGAGCTGAGTTGGATTTTGAGGTCGAATTGATTGAACGTCCTCCATGTGTCCACTTCAACTAGCCCTGGGGCGGCTATGATGCTCAGGCAGCTCGAACTCAAGATCCAGATCAGTTCGGTCAGGACTCGAATGCTGAGGAGCACTCGATCCACAACGCTATAGAGCAGAATCGCGGCATGGCACATCGCAGTTCAGCACGGCACAGCACAGCATTGCCTTAGGCACGGTACGTCAAGAACGATACACTCAGCATTGCAATTGCCTGTGGCAAAATCAGGTGTCTTGAAAACGCTGCCATTTTTCACATTTCTGTGTCCCTTTCCGGGTTCGTATCATGTTGGTGTTCTCGTGGCGTTGGGCGCCCTCTTTGTTGTCGGTGGTCCTTTAGGTTTTGGCGTCTTGTTGGTTCTCGGCGTCCTGACGTTTTGTTGGCGCTCTGTCGGTGTTCGGAAAATCGAAGGTTGCCTGTGTCTGATAGGTGTTCGGCGGGCGAAAGGGACCAACGTGTTTTCATATGTTCCGCTTTGGGGCGAAAGGGACCCACCTGTTTCCACGCTTGCTCCAGGTCGCCCAGGCTGATCTCTAGCATGAGGATTTGTTGAGGATGTCTCGAGCGAAAGTTTCTTTTTTACGTGTCCAGGTCGCCCAGGTGAATCACTAACATGAGAATGTGTTGGGGACGTCTAGAGCGAAACGCTCGTTCTGCAGGATTTGGTGAGTATGTCTCGAGCGAGGAACTCGCCTGCAGCGAACGTCTCCCTCTGCAGGATGTGTTGTTGATGCCTCTCGCGAAACGCTGGTTTTGCATTGGTTGAGGAGGTGTCGTGCGTGGGGCTTGTTGTTGTTTGGGTGCGTTTCGTTTCGGTTCGGATTCGCCCCCCGATAGGTTCGTCCCATTTCGAACTGAAGCAGATCTTGGGTTCGATCTGGTTGAACGCTCCGCATGTTACGACTGCAGCCAGCTCTGGGCGAACCATGCGCGTAGGCAGCTTGAGCTTAAAATCTAGATCAGTTCGGACCTGATATGGGTGCCAAGGATGGTTTGATCCACACGGCAACAGAGAACAACACAGTTTAACATTGCATAACGCAGCACAGTGCAGCACAGCATGTATCAATAACCATTTACGCCAAATCGCGGCCCTGGCTATTTGCGAGGTGCCTTGCCACCTCGGAGTGTGGTTCCCTCGTCAGGCGACTCCATGCAGTTTCAGAAGCGTATTCGTTTTGGTTTGTCTCGTCTCGCTTCGATTCGGGTCGGTTCGGCCTTCGTCTCGGTTCGTATCGTATCGGTTCGTTTTGATGCAGTTCGTGGCGTTTTGGTTCGCCGAGCTTCGGTCCGTCCATTCTGTGCGTTTCGCGTCGGCTCGGAGTCGCCCCCTCTTGGAACGTCCCGCCACGGATCTGAATTAGATGTCGAGCTCGAGCTGGTCGAGCGCCCCGCGTGGTTCGATTGCGACCAGCTCGCGATATGTGTCCATGCAGCTCGCACTTAAGATCCAGATCAGTTCGGTCAGGATTATGATGCCAAGAATTACCTGATCCAAAACGCAATAGATCACAGCACATGTCAACGCGGCATGGCACACTTCAACTCACCACAGCACAGCACAACGCATTTCCTGGCATGTTACATCATCCGCGTTACTTTGAGCTTTGCAATCGTTTAGTGTCTCGAAGACTTTCTATGTTTCACAACTCTCTCTCTCTCTCTCTTATTTATGTATACACCTATACAACCTCCCTTTGGGTTATATGGCGGTTCGGGGGGGAGGAACCAACGTCTCACTCGATCGGTCTCACTATCGATCTCACTATCGATCTCACTATCGGTCTCGCTCGATCGATCTCACTCGATCGATCTCACAATCGATCTCACTCGATCTATTTCATTCGATCGATCTAGCAATCGATCTGACTATCGATCTCACTATCGATCTCACTATCGATCTCGTAATCGATCTCACATTCGGTCTCACTAGCGATTACACTATCGATCTCACAGTCGATCTCACAATCAACGTCATCATCATCAACAACATCATCGTCATCAACGTCATCACCATCATCACCATCATCATCATCATCATCGTCATCATCATCATCATCATCATCATCATCGGGACACCGTCATCATCATCATCAGCACCTCATCACAATCATCATCAACATCATCATCACAATCATAATCGTCACCGGGGCACCATCATCGTCACCATCAGTATCATCAACACATCGTCATCATCATCGGAACACCACCGCCATCATCACCATCACCTCAACATCATCATCATGAACAACATCAACATCATCTTCATCATCATTGGGACACCATCATCACCAGCAACATCATCATCATCAACATCATCATCATCGGGACACCATCATCATCAACATCAGCATCATCAGCATCACCAACATCGGGCCACCATCATCAACATCACCATCATCGCCGCATCAGCATCATCATAAACACCATCATCATCATCGGGACATCATCGTCATCATCATCATCAACATCAGCATCATCGAGACACCATCATCATCATCTTCATCATCATCAACAGCATCATCATCAACCGCATCATCATCATCATCGGGACACCAACAACATCATCTTCACTATCATCATCATCATCTCAGCATCATCTCATCATCAACACCATCAGCATCAGCATCAACATCATCATCATCATCATCATCATCGGGACACCATCATCATCATCATCATCAGCAACATCATCATCATCATCATCATCATCACCATCGGGACACCCTCATCATCACCACCATCTTCATCACCATCATCATCACCATCATCATCGAGACACCATCATCATCACCACCATCATCATCACCATCATCACCATCACCATCACCATCACCATCACCATCACCATCACCATCATCATCATCATCATCATCATCATCATCATCATCATCATCATCATCATCGGGACACCGACGGGACACCGGCGGGACACCGGCGGGACACCGCGCGGCAGCAGCCCCCGGAAAGGAAACATTTGGTCCGGCCGCGCCTCAGCCGGAGGCGGGACACCGGCGGGACACAGCGCGGCACCCGCCCCCGGAGAGGATTTTTTTGGTCCGGCCGCGCCTCAGCCGGAGGAGACTTTCTTCTCGCCCGCCCACGCAGCTTCGCCTCGCCCGCACGCACGGCACGCACGAACACGAAACCGACACCGATCTCCCGGTAGGGGGGCTCTATGGTTGCTCCGTAGGCACCGACCAGGCCCACGGTCACCAAATTGTGTCGGACCATCTGTACGCTCCATGTGTGCGTGCACGCCTGCGCCGCTTCCGCTAGCGTCACTGCCTGAGGATTCCTGCAGCGGGGGGGGGGGCAGCCTGCGGCTTTGGCCAGTAGGCTTAGCAGACAAGGCGACGCCCAGTCCGACGCCCAGTCCTACGCCGAGCCCAACGCCCAGTCCGACGCCCAGTCCGACGCCCAGTCCGACGCCCAGTCCTACGCCGAGCCCAACGCCCAGCCCAACTGCGCCGCTTTATTGTCTGCAGGTTGTCACTGGCACTGGGTCCAGCAATCAAGGCAGCGTGGACGTGAGCGTGGACGTGGGCATTGGACTTGTGCAAGAGGCCTCCGGATTCTATGCCCAAGGTGCAACAGTGCTCTCGAAGTGTTTTTCCAGCGCGATCCTGGCGCTGCAGATGCATAATCCAACAACGGATGCCTGGGCAGGCAGCATGCTGTATTCCACAGATGGTGGCAACACGTACGTATCTGTTGCATGCGCAGACTGTTCGGGGACAACAGATTCAGGCTCCATGGTTTTCGATGGAAACACCGACGGAGCCAACCAGGGTTCGACCCAGTGCCTCAATGGAAATACGTGCAGCTTCATTATGCCGACTCTTGCGCCGACGATGGCGGCGCCGAATCTTGGAGGGGTCGGCGCCACCGGCGATCACCCTTATTTTCCAGGGCTCGCGGCCATGGGAGCGTGGACTCCGCGTCATTTACGAAGGGTCCTGGTCTGGAAGCGCGGACGCATGGTAATTTACATACGGTCTTGACCCTGCGGGGGCGGACACAGTGCAATTCACATGGGATCCTGGCCCTTGGAGCGCGAACACAGTGTAGTTCACGAGGGATCCTGGCGATGGGAGCGCGGACGCCGTGAAATTCACAAGGGATCATGGCCCTGGGAGCGCGGATGAAGTGCAATTCTAAACGCTTCGCGTAACTCCGCCATTGCCCGATTGACCCGCCCTCTGGACTCTTCCTTGCGGGCCGCAGATCAAAAAAGTAACTCCGCCAGCCCATCCAGAGACGATGCCAGGAGGATCTGCCTCGATCAGGGAAGTGGGCAGCACGCAGATGACGTGACCCTCGTGGAGCGCTTTTGGGACACTCGTGGGCGCTTTTGGGACCGTCTTGGGGTTCTCTTGGGCCTCTCTTGCGTCTTGGGGGTCTCTTGGCGGTCCCGGGGGCCTCTTGGAGCGTCTCTGGGAGCCTCTTGGGGCCCCTTGGGGGTCTCTTGTGAGCCTCCTGGAGGCCTCTTGAGCCTTTGGGGGCCTCCTGGGCGCCTCTTGGGGCCCTCTGGAGGCGCTCTTCGGATCCTTGGGAGCGCTCTTGGAGCCATCTTGCAGGACATCGATCAAACAAGAGGGGAGCATGAATTGGCGTTGCCCCTCGGGAGCCCTAACAGTCGCCTCTTGGGGCGCTCTTGGGGCGAGCGCTCTTGGGCGCTCTTGGGGCCGTCTTGGGGCTCTCTTGAGCCTCGCTTGGACCCTCTTGGCCTATCTTTGGAAGACCTCGGATGGCCATCGGAAGCGAAAAGGCGAGACAGCCACAAACGTTGAGTTCCCAGGTTTTGGAAGGATGTTGTCCTCTTCGGGGCCTCCTTGGGGAGCTCTTTGGCCACTTGGAGCTGTCTTGGAGCGGTCTTGGGGCCTCTTGGAGCATCTTGGGAGCCATCTTGAGGCATCTTGGGATATCTTGAGCCGTCTTGGAGGTCATCCTGGGCTCTCCCAGGTGTTCTTGGAACCATCGTAATCCGTGCCCCCCCAGTAGTGTGGCTAAAAACGTAGTAGCATCAATGAGTATGGCATTCTCGCCGAGGCCTCTTGGGGCGTCTTGGGTGCCTCTGGGGGTACTCTTGGGATCTCTTGGGGGTCTCTTGGGAGCCTCTTGGGGCATCCTGGGGGCCTCTTTTGGCAGTCTTGGGGCATCCTGTGCACCTCTTGGGGCTCTCTTGGAGCGCCTTTGGGAGCCTTGGGGACCATCTTTGGGCCATCTTGGAGGACATCGATCAAGCAAGAGGGGAGCATCAGTTAGTGGTGCCCCCTCGTGGGCCAACATGAGGCCAACACCTTCCCGTAAAACCAATGATTTTGGCTTCCTCGCCGAGGCCGTTGTAGACGCTCGGGCGCCTCGCGACCAGCCCCGTCCAGGTCCAGGGGAGGGGGCAGGGGGAGGGGTCAAGGTACCCACCCGCCCACAAGCCGTCTAGGTCACTCCCACCCGCCGTCCCAACACATGAGTAACATCTGAGCCTGAGCATGTTCAGCGGTCGTCTTTGGATGGACGGCTACCGGGAACCAAAGCTGACCCCAGGTGCACGCCGCTTGAGCGAGGTCCGCCACGTGTGCCATGGGCGCCACGCGCTAGGCACCCCTGTGGCCCGAGCATGCCAGGCACGCCTGGTGCGCCAGATGCGCCACGTGCTCCGAGCGCGCCAGGTGTGCAGCACACTCCAGCCGCGCCAGGTGCGCCACGTTCGGGGCACGAGCAGAGTGCGTCAGGTGCGCCTGCGCACGTGACAGCACACATCGGGAAACACGTCGGCCCCCGCCGTCCTTGCCGAAGACCAATGCCCATCATTGTGTCTGGTGGGCCTCCGCACAACAGGCCACGCGCCACCACCCCCGCCGTCCCTGTCAAAAACCACTTGGCACTGATCACGGGATGGCCGGTCATTAGCCGCGAGGTGCATGTTGTATAATTTTGTGTCAGGGATGGTCGCCCTGGGCACAGCATGGAATTTGCTGACACCCCCGCCGTCCCTGTCAAAAACAATACAGCGTGCTCGCGGGCCCCACAAGCATGATTCAAGACTTCGCCCCAAGGTGTACTTGGCATGGTCTTTTGACAGGGATGGTGTGGGGGCGCATCGGGTTGGCCGCGCATGCTCCAAACTTGGAGGCATCCCAATTTGGAGGCAGAGCGCGGCTTGTAATGTGTTTTGAGGATGGCGGGTGGCGGGTCCGCATGGAATCGGCATGGTTCCGGGTTGGCCGCCGGCCAGGTGGGGGAGATGGTGTACATTAGTAAGGATCAATGAGAAACCAATCCCCGAAGGGGAAGAGGGGCTGATGGAAGACAAAACGCCCTAGACCACCTACGCCCTAAAGGGCTGGCGGGACTCGAATGCTGAATCTATGTTTCGGTTGATCAATATCCCTCTGTGGGAGCCCTCTGTGGCCGTCTTGGGACCCTCTAGCGCTGCGTTGGGGCTCTCGTGGGCCGTCTTGGGGCCTTTTCGGCCCAATCGTGGACTTTTCTGTAGGATCCCCAGAAATCCGGTTTGGATTTGGAATCATTGCGGGTCTTTGGGGGTCTCCCAGGGGCCCCAGGAATTCTTGCCTACCCTCAGGAAGCCCACGCGTCGCTCGGGAGGTTCCATGTTGAATGAGAGGCAGGGCACCACGACAGGGAAAATTACGGATGCGAGGTATGCAAAGTGGACGAGGGCCAGGCCGTAATTCGGTCTTGGGCACGGCCCGGGCCGGGGTGGAGGGGTCGAGGACGAGGTGGTGGTGGACATTGAGCCGACAATCCAAGCATGGTTTGGTCCAAGAGTCACATATACGTTCGCCTAGCTGGGAAAGCAAAACAACAACATCGCCGTTTCGGACGTCTCCGCCGCTTCGTCCTGGTGGCGCCCGCTCCTGGGCCCCCCCTGACGCCGATTTGGCTACAGCCTCGCGCCTGTTCTGGTTGCTTGCAGAAGAGGGCAGCGACGCCGAGCGCGATTTTGTCGCCAAGTCGGCCGGCTGTTCAGTCGCAGTGCAAACGTGGACCCATTCTGGCGGTCGTCAGGGGGCCTGATGAACATCAGAGGCGTGTTTTTTTCTTCCCGCGACTACTTGACATTTAGTTGCGGGCGCGAGCAAAATCCAGATGTCCGCCTGGGCCCGCGGCGGACTAGCGGACGAGCGGAGATGCGAGCGGACCCGCCGGTGGTAATGACGCGCATGCGCGGGAGTCGCGGCGACGGCGACGGCGACGTCGACGACGACGGCGGCGACTGCGCCAACAATGACGACGGCGGCGACGGCAACGGCAACGGCGGCGTCGACGAACATCGCGGCGACGGCGGCGACGGGGCCCGGGCCCACGGGCGAACTTGCGCCCCGCCTTCGCTCCTGGAGCTCCGGGTCAGATCTCGCGGGTGGATCGAAAGCCCTGCGCGCAGTTGAACCCCTGCCATTCTTCCAGTTTGCGACAGCTTTCTTTTCGCTTTAGCGACGCGCCGCTCTTCGCTTCCGACGCGCATCGAACGGCGCGCCTTTTCTAAAGCCGCTTTTTCGCTGTAGTAAAACCGTTTCCTCGCGACGAAATGAAAGGGTCGGGGCGGAGGGATGCGCTGGCTGGCGGGCGGGGGGGGACGCGGAGTGGGCGCGTGGGATGGGGGGGCGCGCCGACAATTTGGTCGGGGCGGGGGGGGCGCGCCGGCCGGTGGGCGGGGGGGGGCCGGAGGGGCGCGTGGGGTGGGGGGGGGCCGTGCCGAAATAATAGGGTCGGTGCGGGGGGGGGGGCGCGCCGGCCGGCGGGCGGGGGAGGCCCGTGGGCCGCGCCGGCGGGCGGGGGCGACGCGGGGAGGGCGCGCGGGAGAGGGGGGGGGGCATGCCAAAGTAAAAGGGTCGGGGCGGAGGGGCGGAGGGGGGCGCGCTTGCCGGCGGGCGAGGGGGGCGCGGAGGGGGCGCGCGGGGTGGGGGGTGCGCGCCGAGATAGCAGGGTCGGGGCGGAGGGGGCGCTGGCATGCGGGCGGGGGGCGCGCGGAGCGGGCGCGCGGGATGGGGGGGGCCGTGCCGGCGCGAAAAGGTCGGGGCGGAGGGGGCGCCCAGGCTGGTGAGCGGGGGGTTCGGAGGGGGTGCGCGGGGCGGGGGGGGGGCGGCGCTTTCGGGGCTGAGGGGGCGCGCTGGCTGGCGGGCGGGGGCGGGCGCCGAGGAGGCGCGCGGGGTGGGTGGGGGGGCGGGGGCGCCGAGGCAGGCAGGCCAGGGCGGGGGGGGCGCGCTGGCTGGTGGGCGGGGGGGCGCGCGGAGGGGGCGCGCTGGGTGGGCGGGGGGTGCCGCGCCGAATTATAAATCGCCGACGCAGCGCTCTTTCCAGGGCTGATGAATGCAGAGGCGGCGGCGCGCGGTTCGCAGTGTGAACGGTTTGCGTGGTTGCGCAGTTTCATCGTTCATGGCCGCGGAAGCGGCGCGGCGCGGCGCGGGGGCGCGCGAGGCGCGGCGCCGCGGCGCGCGAGAGCGCCCGCGCGCGCGGAGGAGCGCGCGCGCGCGCGGCGCGCGAGAGAACGCCCCCCCCCCCCCCGGTGGGATGCGCCGCATCGGGGTCGCGGGGGGCGCGCGAGCGCGCCCCCGCGCGCGGCGCTCTCGCAGGCGTTGGGATATATTAGTGTCAACCCTCAAGGCGCGCGGAAATGGGCGCGCGCGCGGCTTCCGCTTGCCCGTCGGCCGCTCTGCGCGGCCGCGCGCCCGCTGGCGGGTCGTCGCTCCGCGCGCGCGCCGGGCGGTCGCCGCCCCCCCTGGAGTCCCAAACTTGGATTTTTCCCGGCTGGCCTTAATTATTCCGGCAGTTGCTATTATTTCCGGCTGGCGGTATTATTTCCGGCTCGCTGTCAACAACAGCATGCGTATAATTTGTTAACATGCAATGCGCCAACGCATAGCATAGCAAGACATACGTTCGATTTCGCGCCATAATATATATATATATATATATATAATAAATAAATAAATACATATATATATATGAATACATCCATATATATACATATATATATATGTATATATCATGACACCAACAACAACTCCCTTCTCCTCCTCGTCA